AGTGCGGTGACAGATGCCTACAGTACACATAAGTATGTGCCATTAAAATATGTCCAGTGTTATAAAGAAAAAGAAGGGGCTGAGTACCGGAGCTGGATCTTAGGTAATAAGATCGGGAATCTCTCAGAGGAGGTGACATTGAAACTGAGGGCTAAAAACAAAGAAGGTGCTAGTTTTGCAAACAATGAAGAAAAGAGATATTCAGGTAAAATGACAGCTTGTGTTAAGGCCCCAAAGTGGGAAACACATCTTGAAATGCTTGACAATCAATGTCCCAGGAAACGTTCAAGACCGGAGGGATAGCTGTGATGTAGACACCTGAAACACAGTGTAGGTTTGGGAACCCTTTGTAAGGAGAACATTGAAATAAAACAAGTCAGTCTATCAGAGAACAGTGTAAACAGGATGCAAGATCTAGAGATCATCATGCCATGTGAGAAATAAAGGAAAGCATTGCATGTTAAATATCAGTGAAATGGCTTGGTGGCCAAAGGTGGGTGGCTATTACTGTCCTATCATCTCAGAAAGGTTGAGGCAGCAAAGAAAGATTTGATTTGTTCAAATCAATACAAGTGGCCAAGAGGGGAGAGTTAAAGAGACAAAATTTGGTTTTATATAAGGGGAAAAAAAAACCTAATAATTTTACCTGCTCCACAAAGGAATCAACTCCCTTTCACTCTAGAGAATTGCAGCAATCAAGCTGAAGCCTAGCCAAGAAAGATTTCTGTAAGATTTCTTCCCACCCCCCCCACCCCCGCCACCATTCTTGTCTAGATTAGATGGCACTTCAAAGTCCACCCAACTCTAAGGTGCTATAGATGTATAATAGAGCTATATCCAAAACAACCTGTTCTAATGTGGTCTGATTCATAAGAAACACAGGTGCTGAGAATTCAGTAGCAAGCACAGTACTCCCATCAACGGGCTACCTTGTCCTCAGTAAGATGCATCATTGCGCAAATACAAGATCGCTAATATGAAAACATCTTCAACACAATGGCCTGTGAACAACTCACTTCATGAAATACCTGAAAAGACTCTGAGAACTGTATCTTATAATGCATGTCAGACTACAGCATTCCCAGGGCCGAATAAAAATACTTAATATTCATAGATCACTATAGAGTTTACAAAATGTCTTTGTCCTCGTGCAAGGATAGCTAGCCTTGAATGAGTGACTTCCACACTCTCAAACCTAATGATAAATGATTTGACATTATGTCACTGATTTATTTATTTATTTGGGGTCTGTTCCCCACTAGAATGCAAACATTATGTGTGCAGAGAGCTTTTTCTCTTTGCCTTATGATGTATTTCCTGAGCTTAGTCAAATGCCTTTCTGATGTGCAGTGGGTGCTTGATATATGTGCCTTTAATTAATCAATCATATCTAACTCTTTTAATAGATTAATTAAAGCCACAAAGCCACCGGTTTTTTGTACATAGGCAGTCTGATTGTAAAGGCTGAATTTACAGCCACTGTGCTAAGCTGACAAATTATCTTTAATATCCACAGAATAAAGAGGGGGAGACCGTTGTCTGATGTCTGGGGAGTAAAACCTCTAATTGATGTCCCGTGTCACTCTTGTTCTGCTGAGGTCACTTCTTTCTGTGCTTGGGTTGGGGAAATTTACTCTAGAACAACTTTGTCTTGAGTTCTGTAGACTTGGTTGGCTGCTTGATTTCATGTATATCTTGGTAGGAACATCTGGATCCTAAAATTCCCTTACTATGTCCTGCATAAAGGTTGTAGGTAGGATATAGAGGGGTGAAATTGGTGGGGAGTAAATTATTCCATCTGTCCCACAATTCTCTGCAAAAAAATGTTCTTTTTTGTTTTCTTTTCATTTGTTTCAGTGGTATAGAACTGCACCAGTTTTGCTTTTTAATCTATTAGTTATATAAGTTTGCAAAATTCTGAGTTTTACTTGAACTATTTTTTTTAAGAAGGGCAAAAGAACACCACTCTTTCCCCTGTCTAATCTAGAGTTTTTGTCTTTTGTCTTAGAGTTTCTAATTTTCATGTTCACTGATAGTGTCCTTTGTTGTCCCTGTTTTTCTTTGTAGATTGTTTTTTTTTGGCTTTTCTATTATTAATTGAAAGTCCAACCTTATGTTAAAAATTACAGTTCATAATCCATGCATGCATGATTATGTCAAAATGAACTCCAATATTGTGTATTACTAGTATGTAATAATAATGAGGTTAAAAATTACTTTTAAACCTCTTCTTTGTCAAAAATAAAATAATAGTTATTTGTTCCCTTTTGTCTAACAGAAGAAAATTAGCAGATTTTTGATTCACACTTCAATCCTCCAAACCTTTCTCAGTTTTAGTTGACATAGTAATGAATTATGAACCCAAATCACAATTGTTCATTTTTCCATTATGTCTTTAAGTAATTATTTTTTACATTAACCTTCTGTTTTGGAACATATTTAGAGCAATTATTTAGTGTTAATGTAATGTCTAATTAGTTTCATGTTCACTGTGGATTTTTTAGCTCCATATTTGTCTATTCTTGATTTCTTTATTTTGATTCATTGCTTGGTCAATTGCTCTTTAAATGATTTATTAGGAGTAGGGCATGTGGGAGCCTCTGGTTACCGAGAGAATGTCTTTCTGATATATTTGCACAAGAACAACATCTTGGCCGATCAGGAATTTGTGGGTTACAACATTTTCTCTAAAAAATCCTCCACTGTCTGCTGCCTTCTATGAGAGAGAAATCTGAGGAGCCAGCCAGAGATTTGCTACGGTAAGCATGGCTGCTCTCTACCTTTGACCTTTTCACCCAACTCTTTTCAGTAAAACATAATAATAAAAGACAATCAATGTGTGATTTCTCCTTGCCAGAAAATACAACACTGAGAGCCCAGATCCAACTGTTCTTCCTCTTTCTGTTCCCATGAGGCCAACTGCAGACCCCTGACACTCTGCATAAACATTCGTTCAATTCCCTTCTTGCCTGCTTGTCATTACTGGGAATCCTACTTCCAAAATGAGAGTATGCATGACCTGGGATAGGAGATGTCAGTCATTAAATGGCCCAGCTCCTCTTGGAAGCAGGAGTAGAAACAACTTCTAAGACAAGGCAATTTCAGAGTGGATCACCTCTTTTTTTTTCTCATTGGCAAAATCCTGTGTCTTAAAAAGGGGGTCTATGCTATGATGACTGGGAAACAAAGCCTCCAATCAATGTCCTGTGTCACCCCTGTTCTGCTCAGGGCCAACCATGGTTGGGTTGGGGAAATTCCTTCTAGGAGACAATTGTGTTGGGTTCTGCAGACTTGGATCTATTGCTTGGTTTCATGATTATCTTGGTGGGAATGTGGAAGAGGATCCATGGGGCTCCTCCCAGCTTGGAAAACCTAACCCTATCTCTTGATTTGTGCCAAAGGCAGAGAAACCCACTTAACAGAGAGCTGTGCTGAAATGAGGGCACATTTCTCTAAGAAGAAGATGGGCTCCCAGATGCTCCTTCCCATCTTTGTGTCTGCCTACTCAATACATCAGAGTGCTTCATGCAGAGGGAGGACCAGATGGACAGGTGGAAGGCAGTCTGGCAGCTTCTCTTTGTAGTTTTATATTCTCTGTGAGGAGTGTTGCTTGGACCAGTAATAAATGCAAAACTGAAATACCAAAGTGGAATTTAAATGAGCATGTAGACATTCTAAATGTTAATTAGCTCCTCAGTCCAGGTTTTGTCCCAGGCGATGACTGCCACTGACAGACTCAACTCTACCTTGGCCACCCAGAGCACGGACAGATCATTCATCATACACTTCCCCTAATCTTGCTTTGGTCTTGACCTTCCTTTCTTGGTGAATGTCTGCCTTCCCCACCTATACTACATAACATGGCACATGCCAGGCTTCCTTCCATTTCTATAAGCTCCTGGAAGGCACATAATAACCACAGTGTGAACCACAGGGCTTGTTTATTAAATGAATTCTGGAAATCTATAATGTGTTCATAAAAGCATCCCAGATGACAAATAGCAGCTCATGGTACAAGAAGGACCAAATATATTGTGCTTGCAGAAAAAAAAAAAAGATAGGTGTGCTTTTAGAGAAGGCAGATGGTAGAAAAGATCTGCAGTGAAAGAAACAGTAATTAAGAAGGGGACCACATTAGTTCTATAGACCCCTAAGAGTGTAGACCAAGAGCAATACGTGGGTGCCACATTCAAAGAGATATTTAAGGATGTATATGACAAAGCTCTCTTGGAGCCATAGTCCCTACCACCACCCCAAAGATCAACAAAGTAAGGTATCTATACTTTCAGGTACTCAAAAATAAGCACTAATACCAGTTAACTGTCACACTGTAATAGTGACTGAAGCTCTGTTGAGTGTGTGTGTGTGTGTGTGTGTACGTGTGCGTGTGTGTGTGTGTGTGCATGCTCAATAATCTTTAGGATCCTTTCTAGTCCTGTAGTTATTTTTATGACTAGACCACTGCTTGATCAAAGACATATGTGACATCAAAATGGTTACCTTGTTACTGGGAGAAAAAACTATTTTCAAACATGACTAATGGTAATGTCAAGGGAATAGTATTCACAGGTGAACTAAAACATACAAATATATCCATACCAAGGTAGCTTTCTAGTTATTACTACTATAGATAAGGAAATTCAGGCTCAGGAAGACCATGTGATTTTCTCAAGTGTCGCACCTTCTCCATACTCTAATAGAGGAGGCTGCAAATGATTTCCATAAAGAGCAGCAGAATAAATGTTTCAGGCTTTCTGGGGTGCACAGTCTCTGTTGCACTTGCTCAACTTTACTATCAAGCATCAGCGTCGCCATTGAGAAAATGCAAAGGAATAGGCTCAGCTATATTTTAAAACAACTTTATCAAAAAACCCAAAAAAGCACAGGTCTGGATTTGACCTCCAGTTTGTCAACCTCTACTCTGGAGCTTTGCTGACCTCTCATGGGAGAATGGGAAACCCAAACAAGGCAAGGAATGGCCTCTTTGTGGCCAGACTTACTCCGTTTGCTTTGCTGAGTGCCTGGAAGTAGATGCTGTAGCTTTTCAGTGGGGAGAGAGGAGGGTTCCAGTAGCCATTGTATGTCTTGTTGTCACCCACTGTAAACGGCTGAGTGACAGGCAGGTTGGCAGGCTTCAGTTCAGCAGCAAAATAGTGCAGAGAATCCAGGCTGGAGGCATTCCTGTAGCTCACAGGGACCGAGAAGCACTCGATGATGTCAGCTGCCCTCCGGGACTTCTGAAGTCGCTCCTCCTTGACCACCAGCTGATAAACACTGGATGGGAAAGAGGAGAGAGAGATGAGCAACCCTCTGGAGGGATAAGCTCCTTAGTTCTCGAGGAATTGGCACAACTTCTTCCATAAGGAAACACTGTTGTCACTTCAGCTCTCCCCCCTTCCCAAGCTTTAGGTTTTCAAACCTAGAGCTCTGTAGAGATCTGTTTCCGTTCAGAGGTCCCAACTCAGCTCCGATTGACATGTCCAAAATTCAACTCAGCCCCAACACCTACAAACCTGCTGTATCTCCTCCTTCATTTCTTTCTTGACTAAGGGGTTGCACCATCTCTCAGGTAGCCAGACCCTGAATTTAGGGTTCATCCTTAATTCTTAGTCCTCACTCTCCTCCTCTACTCAACAAGCCCGACGGCAGCCATTCCTCTTGCCCATCTTTTACCCTTGGACTGCTAATGCCTAGGTTAGGCACTTCCCTACCTTTTGCCTGGACTCAACTGGTCTCTTTGCCTCTAATTGTTTTGGTCAGTTAATCAGTCCACCCATGATCTTCCTAATCGTATACCACTGTCCCTCTTCAAGTACTTGGTGTCTATCTTGTATATTCTAAACTCCTCATCTTGGCATTTGAAGCCCTGTGTACCTGGCTTCCCATCTTCCTTTGAGAACATGTTCTCAAGAGACTCTCCCCACTGATTCCAGAAGCTCCAGATTCTCTTGCACAAACATCTTTTGGACCTCAGCCCACACCATCACCAGCTTGTACTTCTTTTACAGTCCTCTCCACCTCCACTTTCCCTCAAGGTAAGCTTTTCCTCCTTCTCCTCCTCCTCTATGAAGCCCGTCCAGATCTGCCCACTCTGGACGGGTTATTCCCTCTGCTTTGTTCCTCTTCAACTCAATTAATCACTCTCTGATCGGTTCTGCAACAACATGAGGTGGAACTACTGTCTTGCTGGCTAGACTGTGTCCTTAAAGAAAGAGGGAGTGCAGCTGCATTATCTCTGAGTCACTCTCCCCACAGACACACTGCTCAACAGGATGCCTGACACCAAGCAAGTGATCAGTGAATGCTTGTTGAAATGAATCAAATTGGATTGAATTAAAACTGAAAGCAGCATGAAACCAAACCTGACTGGATGCAGAAACTTCAATCAAGGTAAACAGTGACTCCCTGGAGCTCCTGTCTAGTGATCTCATATCATTCCCTTCAACTTGGAAGGATATAAGAAGTGCTAGCATGTGCATAGAGATGACTGAGCCCTTATTAAATATCAACTCTATGCCAAGTGTACAGATTCTCTTTGTAAAAAGTTATTCTCAAGTTTGTGAATTGGACAACATCTTCTCATTTCTTTGAATGCCAAGTGTGTGCTTCTCTCAAATAAATGCTCTTCTTTGAGAAGACCTTTATTGCACAGGTCTCTGGGAACCATGACTGAAGACAGAGGATCAATTTCCCAAAGTGCACCCCAAAGGAGACAACGGGAATTAATGAGGTGGTTGCAGAAGTGACCCCAAACCACTCATTTAAAGATGGCTTAGTGAACTAGCATGTGGTTTATTTAAAGAATGTGGTGCAGGCTCCTATTCTTTGATCAGATTATCCATCCAAAGACATTTGGTTAAGAGGCACAATTTTGGTTAATACAGAAGCACAGGACTGCTTCATTAAGGGGAGAGAAAAAAAAAAAAGACTACAGAGAGGCTCCTCCCAAGAACATGTAACATCCTCCATCTGGCCAGAATTCTCTGAATGTCCTTGAGCCTGGGAAAGGTCAGCCATGCAAATGGGAAAGGGGTGGGCATGTAAGAGTATGACACACTTGGATGAGTGCAGAATACAGGTGGAGGTGAACAGTTCAGTGAGCATACGCATTGCCCTACATGCATCTGGCCTGGAGTGCATGAGTGAATGTGGCCAGTATCCAGGGGACTGCATGTGGCACTTGAGTGTGAATATGTCCAAATGGGAATCTGCAGCACGTGGGTGTCTAACTCTAAGTGAGAGTAATGTCCCTACAAATGCGATAGTGTTGAGTATGTGGGCTTCTAAGTGTGAATGACATCTGACTGGGTATGTGTATGACATCTTTTATGCTCATAAAGCCAGCTGAAGCCCCCAAGTGCTTAAATTAAATTACTTCCACCTTAGCTCTGGGGTTCTCCTCACACAAAATCATCATGCTTAACTGCACAGCTAAGCTCAAAGCAGACACTGGAAAGCAGCACAAGGACCAAAGACCCAAACCTAGCCATCACCAGATGGGACCAGAAGGGTGCTTATCACAGGATTTACAGATCTGCACTGCTTTTTTATAACAATAGTCTCAAATAAAACTTGGAATCTGCTCAAGTGCTAATAGTAACTTGACTAATTGAGGGTCCATACACATGGGGCTCTGACTTTCAAGGAAAAGGGCAAGAGTCAATAAGAAGCAACACAGCAACTTCATGAAGCAGCCAGTCTCTTGGGTTCTCTGCTGGGGCTAGCAACAGACTCTAAAATCACTCTGCACTGATTTGGGGGCATGCAACTCATCAAGCCTTCATATCCTCCTGACCGGGTCAGAAGGAACCAAGAACCTCAACCCCAACATCAACGGCTGAAAAGAGATGTGGGCCTCTGCTTTCTCCCCAAACTCAAGTCTATTTCCGTCCACCACTTTGGCGGATCATCAGGTTGCCTTGATTTCTCATCCAGGCCTCACATCCTACCTTGAATTCTTAAATCATCTTTGTCTTCCTCACTGAGACCTTTGGAGATTCCCAGAAGTTGGATCCCCCTTCTAGAATCACTTTCTATTACCCCTGGCTCGCCAGAGCTGGGATGGACCAAGAAGAGCTCAAGGCTGAGCTCCTGTATTACCTATGACTGACGTGAGATCCTGCAGTTGTGGACAGTCAAGGTAGGTCCTCCCTGGGTTCTGAACACTCGAATACTCTCAAGGCCCAGGTGGAAGGTGTAGCATCTCTGCAGGGATCAGCCTGTCACCTCATGACATGCCCCTGTCACCAACCTGATGTCTGAAGCTCCACTTGTCAATTCAACCAAACCCAAAAGAGATGAGGACGCAAAGCCTGAGAGGTCAAGTGGCTCATGCACGTCAAACTGCAGCAAAGCAGAAGGGTGGACTTCCCCTCCACAGTTCAGGGTCCTTTCTTTTTTTCCTACCTTCATCCTATTCCCATAAACCAACACAATGTGTGGAGGGCCACCCGAGCATTGTTTTTTCTTTTACTTGGTGGCCTATAGGGCTTAGCTCTATCTCAAGTGGCCTCACAGGAAACTACAAAAAAAAAATAAATAAAAGAGAACATGGGGGGTGGTGGTTTAACTGTGTCGTCAACATATGGTTCATATTACGAATGGGATTCTCATGTCAGCGCCTGCTCAGCAGTTCCAACAAGGCCACTACATCTGCAGCTTGTCCATTCAGAGGAAATCTGCAACCACAGCCAGAAAGACAGAAGCCATTTTTCTCGGATCAATCTGTTTGCCAGTAGATCCAGCCCCTCTCCAAGATCGGGGAAGTGTGACTGAATAGGCGGAGGGAAGACACAGCTTCTTCTCGCTGAAGGATACACATTAAGAAGCGGTGGGGGAAAGGAACAAGAAACTAGGGATTATTTTTGTTTCCTATGTTAACTTTGTTCTCATCGTTCTCTTGAAAATATATTTATATATGAGCATGCTCCTTTCAGCTTTCTGGTAGTGATAAAATCGTACCTAAATTAGAATAATGCCCCCAAAGTCATACCTCCAGCTCAAGAGAAGTGGCTGCAATAAACTATTCAGGGTCATTTGTAAAGACAAGGGGTATTTCTGAATAGGAACATTCTGAGGGCATGAGAGAAGAATAACTTAGAAGGTTCAGCTCTCAACCCGTGGTATTTACTCAGACATTTTTCCCCTCCTTTGTCACCTCTATTTCTCCCAAAGAGAAGATGGACATTTATGACCATTCTCTCTGCATAACTTACCCTGAGGGTCTGTTCTTGTGGGGCTCTGAACGCTACACTGTGTCCCCGACCCCATCTCAGTCACTTTAAAATGGCAGCTGAGGGGTCAAAAAGAGTTTGTATTTTTAGCTTCATTGTCTCCTGCCATCAGAGGCAAGAACACCCACTTTGGTCCCAGATCCCAAGAGCCCCAACACCCAGAGGACTGCGGCCTCCGACACCATTCAAAGTAAAATCTAATGACTCCTCCAGAGGCTTTGGAAAACCCTGCTTCAGGACCATCTTCCTCCCTCTGATTCCTAAGCGAATGGTTTACCTGGTGAGGCCTGCTAGTATTTTAGATGGTAACTCATGTTGCTCAGACCAGAATCCACAGAGGGGGCACCAGGGACCGTGCTTCCTTCATTGACAATTCCTGTGACCTTCTTGCTCTATCAAGGGAAGGTGCCCCCTACCAGGTGTTGCATCCATTCAGAATGTTGAATCCAGGTGAGAGATGAAGTGTAGCCTTCAGTTCCCAGGGGACGATTGCCCAGCTCTAGGAATGTGCAGATTTTGGTCCATGTTCTCCCAGAAAGATTTAAGATTGAGGGTTCAGGAGTCACTGGAGATTCTGCTTCAGCTGGAGCACAGCCAAGGAATCAGTGTGAGGACGATGAGAATGTCTTAGTTCAGATTCTTCCAGAAACAAACCCTGGAGCCAAAGATTTCGCTGCAAATGATGTATTTAGGACATGCTTCCAGGAAAAAACAGTAAGGAGTGAGGGGAGAGGAGGGCAAAAGGGAGCAAGCCAAGCAGGTGTGTGATATCAGTGAATCTGACCCTGTAGGGAGTTCTGCAATGTAAATTGTCTTATTTCAAATGTTTGAACCCCCATTATCAGGTATTGGTTATGGGTTGCCCCCAGAGAGGGATAAATTCTGTGGGGTCAGACAAGGCCTCTGGGATGGCCTAATGGCAGCCTTTCCAAGGCAGGTCACCCTGAGGGCCATCTGCAGCAAAGTGCACAGCAGCAGGAGGATGGGCACCCTGCAGGAAAGGGGAGGTTCAGGTGACAGGATCTGTGTGGATGCCCACCG